GTCATTAGCTTATTATTGTTTTGTTATTCAGATTTCATATATAAAGTTTCAAATACAAAAATAGCAATTAGAAGTAGATTAAAATTGGCTTCCAAGACTTGATTACAAGTGAAGCTAATAAAAACGTGTTTAAAATTATAGCCTGTGCTACTCTCCGGACCAGAGACAAATAAAAAAAAATATTGTTGTATGTTAGAAGTACAATCAAGAAATCTATAAACACAATTTCGTATTTAATTAGAATGATAATTAAATTAAGATTTATATTTTACCATGATTGATGATGTTGTTTACATTATTTAAAATGTATCTCTTCTTAATTGTCTATTATTTTATACGATATGTTTACGTTTTAATACGCACGTCTTTTTGTATAAATAATAATATAAAAAATTAACGTCCCGGTGGTCTAGTGGCTAGCATATACGGCCGCAGATTCGAGGGTCCTGGATTCGAGTACCGGATCGGGCCAAGTTCAGTTATTGAGTATTTCTGTCAAGAAATTCTCAGTTGGCAGTATTTCACCCCCGTGCCTCGGAGAGCACGTGTCGCGTCGGTCCTGCGCCTTAACTCTTACTGGTCGTGTCGAATATCATCCCATCGGACTTTGAGAGTAAAAGGAATAGAGAGAACACTTGTGTCTGCGCGTACACTTGTGCACTGTAATTGCACAAGTGTAATAATAATTATCTTCTGCGCAGTTAGCTAGTCTCAGTGGTAATCAGTCAGGTGGACATTAATATAAAAAACTCTAGTATTTTTCTTGTTTATTCATTTCAGATCATAACTACTACTGATAACGAATCATTTTATACTATTTTGTAAATATTTTAAAATCTCTAATAATAAGCAAATGAAAATAAAAAAATGTACTGGCCATATAAAGTCGCAAGCAAAAGCTAGTTAAGAAAATAATTATAGCGATATATTCAAACAATTTTCATTCTTATCGCCATACATTTACGTGAGTATTGAAATCATAAACAATTCAAGAGATATTTATGAATGGGACGGACAATGAGACTTGGGCTTAATAAACGACTATACTAGACCTTTGGCTATTAGAGCCCTTGTAGTTTAATATTTAATTTATTTATATTCTGCGATTGGTCAAACTGTATATTAATTGTTTCGTGTATATAAGAAACATAACGATATGCTTATATTTTATGCGTTTGTAAAGGATTTTCAATAAATTGTACAATGAACATGTGTCAGTGAATATTATGCGAGTCAGAACTGCATATAATTTCATAATATTTGTTTCATCTAGTTTGTTTTGGTTTGGCTTGTTTTGGTTACAACTTTATGTCACTATTTGTTTTTGACAGATTTTTAAAGATAATTTATAGGTACTCGACGCTTACATTTTTTATGTTCATCGAATGTTTGAAGGGGGCTAGACTGATCTGTCTAATTTAAATTTTATTCTATAACTAGCGGCTCACCTTCGCTTCGCTCGGGTTCGCCTTTAGAAAAGCACAAACAGATCTATCCCACGGGAACCGTTCATTTTTCCGGGATAAAAATTAACCTGTTGTTTGACCGGTAACATGATGCATGCCAAATTTTACTAAATTACGTGCATAAGTTGTTGTGTACTAAGCTGTATAAGTTACTATAGTTTTTTAACTATCCCACGGGAACTCTTTAATTTTCCGGGGTGAAAAGTATCTATGATGTTGCCTGGGGATATAAGGTATCACCATTTAAAATTTCATTTATATCGGTCCAATAGTTCGGAGATTAGCCCGTACAAACAGACAAACAGACAGAGAAACAAAAAATTGAAAAAAATCTGGATTTGTTCTGTTTTCTTACATCCCCTGACTCCGTTTTTAGCATTTTTTTTTCTATGTACAGACATTCGACCTCTACAGTTTTATTATAGTATAGATAGGGGTGTAGACAAAACGTTATGTCAGATAAAGAACAGAAATTTTATTGAAATGAAAAATTTAATCTTTTTCTACGTGACATTGGCGAAGTGAATTGTGCCCAACTGACACTTCTAGAAGCTATGAAATAAAAGAATTGAATTGAACTTTAATCTTTGTTATAATCTTTTTAGAACTATCCTAATATGTCATTCCCATATATTTTTTTAGATATTATATTCTTCAACGATTAACGAACGAGAATGACATCTTGTCGAAGCCTTATTGTTCTATTACTTTTATTTAACTTAGAGCATACGATTTTCAGAAAAAATAATTAAAAACATAAAATTATTCATATATTCAAATGATTTTGTTTTGACCATATAATTATTAGTTATTACCTAGGTTTTTGCTGTACCATCGCATCATTCTGAAATACATATAAACTTGAGTTGTCTGTCTATTCAAGGTTTTTTTTTATATTTTGAATCATACGAACCGTCAGTTACAGCTGTCAGTTTTTAACATAATATATGTTTTTATTATAAAAAGGCAATAACAAAAAAAAAAGAATCATGAGACTTTAGGCTAAAACTGGCAATATAAACAAGTGTTAAACTTGTTGTGATTAAATACTAAATTTTAAATACAATAAAATAATAAATAAGAAAAGATTTTTTTATGGGACTAAGGGGGCAAACGGGCAGGAGGCTCACCTGAAGAAGTGATCACTGCCGCCCATGGATATCTGCAACACCTCAGGGCTAGCAGATGCGTTGCCGGCCTTTAAGGAATGAATACGCTCTCTTCTTGAAGGTGGCCAGGTCGTAGCGGTTCGGAAAGATAAAGATACTTAAATACTAAATTTAAAACAGCCAAGTGTGAATACGATCAATTTAAGCTGAATTATACAATAAAGGGTCCAAGACTTTTTGACTTTAAGTCCTTAGTAAGTAATATTTAAATGTACATAAAATGAGATCCCTTTGGTTATTTATGGGGAACTCCCCTTTGCACTTTATATTTAGTTGTGCCGTAAAATTTGCTAAAAGCTTATTCTTTATAGAATGATTCATAAATCATAATCAAGTTGCGTTTGATTTATTGGCTACTTTAACAAAAATATTTTTTGGCTGCTTATACGTTAACAAGTATAATTAAAAAATAAACATTTAAACAATAATATCTTTCGTTACTACGTTACGATTTAAATCATTAAGATTTTCATTTATTTTATTATTATTTTACAATTTAAATCATTAAGATTTTTCCAACAAAGAATCTAATAAAAAAATTGTCTCTGCACGAGATCGAACCTACGATATCTAGAATAGTGCATTGCCATTGCGCTCACTTTGTTGCAATAATTGTGTACAAAAAAGAAAACTTTTAGACCTCCATTAAAAGGTTATTCACACTGGGCGTGAACTACCGAAATAAGGGCACGAATGCATTACGATACAAACTCAAGTCAAAACATTGTTTTAGTATCCCGTAAGGGTCGATACATCAATATTTGCGGCGCAAGGCGGGGGCGGACTGCGGCGGTGTAATTACAGGCGATACCAGCCGCGGGCACGCGGACCTAACAAATTTAGTCATTTTAATTTTATTTGGACTTGTATTGGGTTGCCAGTGATATTATTTATGTTTATATTCGTGTTAAGTGCTTTATTTTTTTTTATTTGTCGTAGTTACTCTACAGCTTTGATTTCTTTGATTTTTGTAATTTTATTTAAGTAATAAATATTTTCTTTCTTATATGTCATAATGCGAAATTTAATAGTTTTAAAGAAACTATTCAATCAAATCTTTTAAAAATAAACTTTTGCGATTAAAAAATTATTAATTATATTTTAAATATGTATTTTCTCGTAAGCTGGCAACCCTATACTTTAACGCTCAGTGCCTTTTTGCATGGTTTTCGCACACTTAGTAATGTTTGGACGCATGTGAGGTATGCTTTAAGAAATTATAATGATTAATACGTTTTGTTACAGACTAACTAATAATTACGTGTAATTTAAATTATTGCGGTATTAAGAAATTTAAAGTCGCTATACGAATTGATTTTCTATTCATTTTGAAATTTGTTTGCTTCTTTATTTGCCAAGTTTTTTAGTCTTCGTCATAATTGACGACTATTATTAATTAACAGTTGCGATTTTTTTTTCTATCGTGTGATATTATTTCATGCGTGTTTTAGAATAACTGGTTCATTTTTCTTAGTTTCAATGGTATTATAAAATTATATGGCCACTGATAAAGTCTATCAGTTATTAAGTTTTTTTAAATAATATAATAAAATTAAGGTAATAATAATAAAAATAAGGTAATTTCAGATAACTACGCTATTATTATAGTTTTATTGTAAATAAATATAAACAGTAAGAAAGAAATACAAACGTAAAGAATATAATTTTTATTGGTTCTTATCAATTTCTTACAAACAGGAAGAACTTAGTTTCGCAGTGCGAGTGTCTTTTTAAATAAACCTAATTGCGTATACTAAATAATATTTTAACTAAGATTTTAGTACAAATTATATTAAAACTATGAGATATTTTCATTATATGTTCTTACAATTTATACAGACAACATAAAAATAATCGACCAAAAATTTAAAAAAAAATCTATATCTACAGCCTTATTGGAAGAACTAATATTTCGATTAAGACAATATTTTTTTTAAAAAAATATACAAAAATAGTTACAAATAAATAATCTTTTACATAGGAAACGTCAACGATACCTCACATAGGATCAGGATCAGGTAGACCAGTACTACAAAGTAGTACCTACAATCCGTAGCACCAAATTATATAATAAAATTGTTACATCGAGGTGAGAATGATTCAATAATAATAATATGTATGTTTTGATCGAACTTTAGAGTCAAGAAACTAACACTCACTCCTCAAGTTAAAATATGGACGAAAATTGTAATGCAGAATGCAAACATTCAAAATTGTATCGTAAATAACAATTAGTGATATTGTTACAATAAGATGCTTATATTTTGGACAGTTTAATTTTCGTAAAATAACTAATATTAATGATTAAATCACTGATCTCATATAACTCTTTGGGCTACTTTAAAAGAGTTTGTAACTTTTGTCAATTGCTGTAGCAGGTTTGTCTGACACCTGCTAGGATGACGCTGAATTCATCATCCGGTCGGACATCGGTGCCCGGTGGCGCCGGCGTGTAGGGACCTGCGGGAGGCGCTCCTGAGATCACAGAAGCGTACGGAGATGGGTACATTCTTTCTGAGCAATATTCAGGGGCAGGCGTCTGTTCTCCGCAGTACGGCGGCCGATACTGCTGCTGTTGCTGTTGCTCGTATCTGTACTGCTCCATTGCACCCTCAGTCCCATAATCAAGATATTTATCAAACTCTCTCGCATCTACATCTGATTCAGGAGATCCAGTGCGTATTTCCGGCCTGGAATTTAAAATTTGCTGCTCTTCTTGTGGCTGATTTGGCGGTTCCTCTGCAAAGTAGGTTCCTCCAGTATTATATTCCTCATACTCAGTTTTAGGTTGATCTGGGTAATGAGATACGTAAGAGTCCTCAGTTTTGTACATTTGCTCGTACTGTTCATATGGATGATATTGAATGCTGTATTCTGAGGTCATAGGACCACTAGGCGCTGATGATACTCTTGGAGCAGTAGATCCTAATGCCTGCTGGTCTTGAGAAGTCGCAACAGGTGGAAAGAATGTCCCTGTTACGAGAGGCGGCTGTTCAGCTAACGTCCTCTGTGTGCACATAACGTACATACCATTAGCCATCCCCATAGCTGCTACAGGAGCTGGGGAAAATGAATTTGTTCTGAACGATTTATAGGGGTAAGAGTCTGATAAAGAAGACGCATTGATAGCTCTTCGCCTCTCCTCATATTGAAAGTTCTCCTTTTCATTTTCTACAGGCGAGGCGTCTGGAGTAGGTAAAGGAGCTTCAGCTGGGGCGCTCCTTCTTCCTTGAGGTTCTGGGGACCTAGCGGGGGAAGATTCCGGAGTTTGAACGTGACCATTGTATTGACTCGATTGAAATGAGTCTGAAGCAAGAGGTGAGGTCCTGTATGGAGAGAAACCAGCTCCTGGGTTATGGGAAAAACGTGCATCTGGTGAATCGGTGTTGGTTGCGTACGGCGAACCTAGTGTAGCAGATGAGGGCGGTGGAGCGCTAGATGGCGCAGTTGGTTGATTAGGCCTAGCTTTGTTCTGTTTTCGTCGTCGTGGCCGATATTTGTAGTTGGGGTGTTCTGTCATATGTATCACGCGTAGTCGCTCAGCTTCCTCAACGAACGGCCGTCGATCTTGTGGGGTGAGTGAGCGCCATTTTTTACCTATAAAACAAATAATTGTCATGTTAATTTTCGTATTAGAATATAAGAGAAATATTAGAAAGAAGAATCTTCTTTACTTTTTAAATCTTTGAATGGTTTTAGTTATATTAACGCTGTTCGCTTAACAGAATAAAATGATAAGCGGATAGAAAGCTAAATTGATAATATTAAACACTGTATAATAATTTTGCAACAAAATATTCATAGCTCTAAAAAAAAAAGATTCTCAAGAATCATTACTAATATTTCTAGACAGTGTCAAGATAACATTCCCAGGCGGAATATTAGTAGAATTTTATGAATGCAAAATAGACAGCAGCTGTCACAAAGTCGGGTTAAATAATCACGATAGTGTTTATCAAATAACTATAAAACACCTACTGTGAGTGTCCCATAAATAACCTCATACTCTCTTACGAACAACACCTTTGACATCAAACAATTTAAAACTCTATTTTTAAAGACGTAGAGTTTCTTTCATGTTAAAATTTAAAGTTTAAGCTTGGCGAAGGCATTATCAGGAGCTTTTACAATCTTTAAGGACATTTATCAATGGGACGCTACTTGCTACTGGCGTAAGGTAATTTTAGAGAAGCGCGGTGTCGATGAAAAATAAGCAAATAATTTTAATTGTAGGAATAAATTATTCTTACATTTAGGTACAATGTTTTAAGAATGTTGTATTATACATATGTTAATTTCAATAGTAGTTTTCAAAGTGTTTAGGTTCGACATCCTATTCATTAGAGCGTTATACAAATTAATATTAAATCTATAACAGAAAAAAAACCGTTTAAGCTTCGTCATATTTATTTTTAACATTCCGAATCAATTTGGGGTGATAATATGATAGTTAGAAGAAAAATTAAGATTCCATATTATTTATATATTTTTCTTGCTAATATAATTATGATAAATACAAAATAGGCTTCATAAATACACCGTTATTTTTGAAGGTAAAATTACTTCAAGTAAATTACGTTAATAACAAGAGTAATTGACGTTTAAAATTTTAACGATTCGATGTGGATGCACAAAAAATTTTTAAGCAGCCAACATGAACCTGTTTGACTGATGTCAAATGTCAAGTTGACAAATGGGGACGGATTCTCAGCGGTATATTAATGTTGTCGAGTTATCGATATTTCATTTATCGATGTTACTTAAAATTATATTAAAATAGATATATGATAATTGATATTTAATATAGAATGTCTGGAATTTTAATATAAATATTATAAATATTTAACAACATTATAATATTCATTTGTTTTATTTATAATTTAATTTATTTGCATATCTTAGTAGATAAATTTTAAAGCTTAATTTGAGAAAAATATCAAGATATTTTTCTCAAATTAAGCATGTTTTTATGTGTATAGTAAATTAATGCTGTACGTAAATTAATATTTAATAAGAATTAATTTATCACACTACGCTATCATAGACAAATTTAAAAGATATTAATTAATATCATAAAAATTTTAAAGTTTATTATACATATTTGTTTCATTCAGTTGATTTTACAATTATTAATTAGAAACGTAAACATTTTTTATTATCTACTATCCGCCATTGATTTGAGTCTTATGCAATAGTACATTCGTTCAATTTTGGACCAACTTATAAATAAAAAAAAAGAATTGAATTGAATTTCTATACGGACAAACATAAATAACCACTTTAAGTAAAAAATAAAAATATCAAACCTGTTACTTCACTAACAGGAGACTGCGAGTTATTTTTTTTTTTACTACTTAGGTAAATGCTTATAATAGAAAAATATATTATAATTCCAAAAAAACGCATGAGCCTTTACAAAACGTAATAAACACAAAACAATATGTTACTTCTTAAATTCATTTATTATGTACATTCAAACAAGGCAAGCCATGTCACACAATTAGTAAATATATATGTAATAAATGATCTGTCCGTGTGTAAGAGACCACCAGTAGCGAGTAGAAACCTAACACCGTGTTATCTCTTATTGAGTGTCGTTGATAAAGCCTACGCGTGTGTAAAGCGAGAAATATTAATAGACTAAGTATATTGCTTCTTAATGCGTATGGGATTCCTTATTTGGTGTATGCTTTGTTATAAAAGAAAGAAATATTTAAAGAACATGAATTGGAATGATCTAATCAATTACATGAATAATTTCTCACGACGATCGTGATGTAATGGTAGGTTGAGGTATTGCCGTTTTCTACACAGTAGATCGTAGGTTCGATGCTTGTATGTGGTGAATATTGGTAAGGGCTATAGAAATGTCAGGTACCATCTAAAAGTGTTTCAATTTAAAGAAAAGATGTTTCTTTAAGTTGAAACACTTCTCAAAGTACAAGGTTTTTTTCAAAATATAATATCTATTTGCAACTACTGTTTTTATAACTAGAATCCAATTGAACACTTTAATATGTACGAGTCATTACTATAATATCTAGATATAATTATAAGTATAAAAATTGTAAATAATATATGAATTTCATCCAGTCTAGTTATATGTTTATTCTTTTGTTTATGTGGATGTATGTTACTATGTATATATTTTCGCATAATTGGGTAGTTTTATAATTCTGTTTTAATAAATATCTTAAGGGTTGTACCTACCATATAATTTAAACAAATGATTCCACACCTACTCGTAAGAGTGGAATTGCTTTTCAGTGATTTTAAAGTCAATGTATTTTTTTTTTACTAAAAGTGATACGTACCTATAATAATTTCTTGTTATTATATTATTGCTTTTATTTGTATAACACAACTATTCATTTCAAGTGTCTTAATATATAGGTAGTATAAATTTCGTCGAAATATACCTATGTATATAAAAAAATCTTATCATTTCAAAATAAATGGCATCATTAACTTCCTTGGGCTCAAATCTACCTTCTCGTTAAATGACACAAATCCGTCAAAGTGACGTTTTGTTAAATGTATTTTTTTATATTATTGGTTTTTGGAAATGGGTTTACATTTTTATGCTTCATTTGATGTGGCTATTATTATTTTTACGTAGTTCTTAAGAATGTTGTTCACTAGGTTTTTGTTGTGTGTGTTTGTCTATATAGATCTGTATCTAGTAGATAGAGCTACTTAATCAACTCTACCATAGATTTTTTTATTTTATTTATTTTAATAAGGTTTGCTAGTGGTTATTACATGTTTGATATTACATGATTGACTGCCTCGGTGGTGTAGTGGCTAGCATGTACGGCTGCACACCCGGAGGTCCTGGGTTCGAGTCCCGGGTCGGGCCAAGTTTAGTTATTGAGTCTTCCTGTATAGTAAGTCTCAGTAACAGCCCGGAGTTGGGAAGTTGGCGGTGTTTCACCCCCGTGCCTCGGAGAGCACGTAAAGCCGTCGGTCCTGCGCCTTAACTCTCACCGGTTGTGTCGAGTGGTCGTCCCACCGGAGTATCAGAGTGATAGGAATAGAGAGTGCACTTGTGTCTGCGCGTACACTTGAGCACTATAATATCTCCTGCGCAGTTGGCTAATCTCATTGAGATTGGCCGCCGTGGCCGGAATCGGCTAGGAGAACATCATCATCATCATCATCATCATTACATGTTTTACACGAAATCATTAAAATTAAATAATTAAATAGAACACAAATTAAACATAACCGTTTAAAAGCAAACACAACTTGCAAAATATATACATATTCTTGTGTCCGTTTTCACAATTATGAAGATGAAAATCGATCTATCTACTATCACTCATAAATGCAAACGTGTATGTGTGTAATTGTTATTACTTATTATATTACATTAAGACGGCTGGAAAGATAGATAGAATATTAACTTAGAGTAACATAAAGGCTGACTCTCTTAGGCACAGGGTAGCAACCAAGCGAAGTGAGGGTAGGTCCCCTAGCAGTGGTGAAGGGTCCATACAAGATATTAATTTTTTTTAATGTATAAATGTTCTTTTGGATATCTCTCTCTCTCTCTCTCTATATATATATATAAATATATATATATATAAAGCTTTATTTCTTTCTGCATTAATACGTATATAAAAAAACGTATATTTTTGGAACGCCTCACCTCTGCTAAAATCTCACCGTTTAGTTATTAATAAATAAAGTAATCTTAAAAGGAAGTTAAACTTCGCTTTTTGAATATAGACTTTAACAAAATAGCTACGATAAATGAGACGGTTAGGCTCTGTTACAGTTCATAGTATTTTTATTACTATTCCTATAGGTCTTTTCAAAAAGACATGTGAAGTCTGCCAACCCGTACTTGGCCAGCAGCGTGGTGGACTATGGCTTGATCCCCCTCGTACTGGAGGGACGCCCGTGGCCAGCAGTGGGACGTTAAAAAGGGCTGAATACATACATATATTCCTATATGGTATAGAATTGAATATATCAATGAATTATTCATGATAATGAACGTTAATTTAATAATTTAAAATTTATTGGAATTAAAAAAACACCAGGCGAAGCTAGGGGAAGAGGCAAGTATACAATAAAAATATTATTTTTAATTTCCTTAAAAAAGAAATAGGTTAATTATTTATTTTATATTACGATAAGAATACAAACCAGTAGCTAACATATTAAAAGGTAGAGTGGGCTAATGATAGCGTATAATGATTTCGATCGATCAAACTTGTTATGACACGCGGTGGTCAGACGTTTCATTAATAAGATTACATCATTAGTAAGTCAGAGATAACTCTTTAGTTGGTTAATTATTTTTTAGATGGGGAATGTTAAGAAAACAATGGAACTAAATATCAAATATAATAAATTCATCCCATAAGACAAATAATATAATAGTTATTTTAACTGTAGGGCAGTGAATTATATATATGAAAAATACCAGAACCATATAAAAATAATGATAAACAAAAACATTTTCCTTCTAAATATCGTTAAAATATCGTCACAGAGTGCCGATAGATGGCAGGCCTGATTTTTTGCCGCGACGGATGTCCAGCGCACGCGCTGCATTCTAAATTCGAATTTCTGCCATTCCTCTCTATCTTTAACGGTGTATATAGCTGTCTCTTTCTCGCGACATTTTTTTGCATTTCGATTCAAAGTGTGTTTTGTTTTTTTAAGGCTGCTTTTCTTGCGGTGGCACTGGCCTTGTTTTGTTCATCTTATGCTCGCAATAAACTATATCGGATCGGGTTATTAATCTATCGGCGACTTTGAATATGACCATTCGAATTTAACATTTATATGTATGTATTATTTATGTGCACTTTTCTTCTAGTGTATTTTTAAATGATGTGTGAGAATTTCTGTACTGTGTAATCTTTATATAATATACTTTTCATTAAAAAAAATTAAGAAGAGTACCTAAAATATCACTTTTCTTGTGCGTCTTTAAAACTATTAATTAGTAGTAGATTAATTAGTCTAAGTTGACAATGAGAATCTCTCAGTGTGTTGAAATAGCACAAAATTAATAATATAAACAATACAAAATAAACGTTGACGAGTATTTTGCAGTATTAAAATTTTAATAACTTTCGTTCTTCAATGAAGTTTGATGACGTATTGAAAATATTATACTTCCAACACGTACGCGTACTATACGAATCAATTTGACAGGGCTTACATAGACTTTATTGGTTACATATTAAGCAAAGAATATACATATAAAATGGACCACAGCCGAAAAATTATTTTATTACACTACACTCAATAATGTTAATTTTTTAATACTCTAACTTTTAGAAATTTCTTTTTATTACATTTCATTTAAAGTAGATTTAGATAAAAAAATATTAAGATACATCGTGTAATATGCAAAAGGTATTTTTATTAAAATATGTATATAAGTTAATAAAGAGCTTTTAATATCAGAAATCTCATAATGTTTAAATTAGCTAAAAATATACTATTATTTATAAAAAAATATACATATGTACATGAGTTTTAATATTTTTTAAGATTTAAGATGCAATCGTTTTTAGTAAATGAAAACAATTTACTCGAACGGTAGTACCAATGTAAAAGTAAGTACAACCATAAATAATTCCTTTATTTTTTATCTTTGCATTCCGAGAAATGGTCAGCGAAATAAAATTGCTGCCGAAATCCATAAAGCAGGCTTTATTCGGAGTCGGAGGTGTACATATATTGGCGAAAACCAAAATGTTTTGCTTATGGTTCAAAGTATGAGTTTTAGTTAGCTTTTACTTTTATGTTATTATTTTTAAAGTGTAAAACTATTTTTGTTAAGCTCTCATGTTTTATTTATGTTCAATATTTTTCAAGATTTTTCAGAAGTGCTATAAACACTTCATTGTAATTTATGTTATAAATGCTATATTTTCTGACTTTATTTATAGTTGTTGTCTCTTTCTATTCGTTTTCTTTATAGTTGTTTTCAAATTTTAATTTAGTCCCTTTGAATTTGATGATAAAGACTTATCTTCGCTGCGCTCGGGTTCGTCCCTAGGTATGGTTAATATAGAATAGATAGACTATTATATATTATATATATGTACATATAAATACATAGGTATGATAAGTTGTTGCAGTCTAAGGGGTCTGGTAATCTCCCGCAGTAAAAAGTACCCTATGTCAGCTCTCCAACTATCTCCACACAAAAATCACGCCAATGCGTCATTCTATTTCGACGTGAAAGCTGGACAAAAACAAACACACTTTTACATTTATAATATTAAATTATGGACGGATTCCTTATTAAGTTGTGGTAAACTTAATATTAGTATACTATTATCGTTATAAACTTTTTGTATACCCTCAGTACTTTAATTACTAAGGCAAATACAGATCCATTCCACTTAGCAAAAAAGAACACGAATGTTATCTATTCTCTCTGAACTTGCACCACCCACCAAGTCCAGTACATATCTTCGACAAGTAATAAACTTTTGTAGCAGCATAAATTCTATGCCTGCAGCTCTTATTGTGCCCTAGCCTTAACACCGCCCTAGGACGAAACTACAATCTGTTTTATGTATTACTAGGGGCCAAATGGGCAGGTACGCGTAATACTCTCAACTATGTATTGTGAATGTTTACAAATATTTTTTGAAGTGAAAATTATTTCTTTGCGAACATCTCCGACTTGGGAATTGGTTGTAAAATATCACTCTTTTTGTCTGACAACTTCGTGTTTATGATGAGTGTTACTAAGCCAAACGTATTTGCGTTGTTAAAAGAAAAAATATATCTGTTTCTCTATGGTAAAGCATTTTTAGCTGCATACTATCTTTTTGAGTAAAAGAAATATAAATATTTTCAATTGTATGTTCTTAGTTTGCTTACTCAGAATTTAATACATATTTCTATCGAACAATGTATTATATTTATTATTGCTTATCTGATATTTTCATAAGAGTGATATTATATATAATATAGAAGTGTTTAATATATAATGAAGATAGAATTTCATAGTGGCGACCTTAACCGTAACATTCCACATAAGAATACGTGTTTCATTCAATTTCGACGTATATCTTGTATCAAGTATTCCGTACAGTAACTTATCGATATTTATTTCTCCTAATTTGACTGCATTTCTCGGTTACTGGTCGTGCCCATTAATCATATGGTCATCTCGTTCTATCATATTGATGTTGTATATTTGTGTCCTTGTCCCTCATGTTAGAATTCTATGCGCGTACGCAGACGGCGACTCGCGCGTGCCCCGACGTCGTTGACTTTTTTTCGATTACAAGAAAAACCATAAAATGAAGTGATTGTCGAAAGCTAGTCATTTAAGAAATAATTTCCGTTTACGTAAAGCGATCATTGGTTCAGTCGAATTCTTCCTCAATTGATGTGATGAGACACTGTCGGCTATTGATGTTTCTTTTCAATTTGTTATCTACTGTCTTCATACGATTTTACAGTATTTATTACGTTAAGAAAATAATTAAAAACTTGCTTTATTATTAACTAGCAGCTCACCCTCGCTTCGCTCGGGTTCGCCTCTAGGAATACAAGAACAAACCTATCCCACGGGAATCGTACATTTTTCCGGGAAAAAAAGTAGCCTATGTGTTATACCAAACTATAATCTATCTCTGTATCAAATTTCATCCAGATCCGTTCAGCAGTACTGGCGTGAAAGAGTAACAAACATCCATACATCCACACTCACAAACTTTCACATTTATAATATTAGTATAGATGATTTCCTTTACTATTAAAATTGTAAATTTAAAGGTCGTCAACGTATGCTACGCTAATTAAATTAACAACAGTACTTTAACCCTTCAAACGTGTTAAAATATAAAAGGTACCAGTTCTTTAAAATATAATTATAAATAAGTGTCTGAAAAATGGGATTTGTTTTTTTTTGCATTTGCAACAAATAGAATAAATATATTTAAGGATACGCAGGTACTACTGTATTGTGTACTTTTAATGTCCGATTGCTGGGCACGGACTTCAATACGAGGGGGATCAGGCGATAGTCCACCACGCTAGCCAAGTGCGGGTTGGCAGACTTCACATGTCTTTTGAAATCTTAGGTTCTCTCAGACACGCAGGTTTCCTCACGAT